TGTCTAAAAGTGGCCACTTGTAAACCGTGTAACCGTAATATACCTGTTATATTCTCTCCCCTCTGCAAGCTCTTGCCGGGCGCCACATAAAATGAAGGTCGGCGCGGGGCCGGATTTTGGCCCCCGGGCCTTGAGGTTAGACCAGGTTCCCCTTAAACTGTTATCAGCCAAAGTAGTATTACTTTTGGCTCTATCAGCGAAAAGGGTGAGTGATTTGTCTGCTCTCTCTGTGGCTCCGTCATGCCTCCGGATCCAAGGAGATGGCAGTTCAGCTGTTTCACGCCCTAACCCGGCTTTTATGCCAAAGGTCATCACAAGCTCGTTAGAGTCATGAGTGATCACCTTGGATGGCTTCTTTCCCCCTCCTCACAGGTCGGAGGAAGAAGCCGCGTCTCATCTCCTCTGTCCTGTGCGCGTGCTGTCCTGCTAGTGGCGCGCACGGCTGCCTTGCGCCATTCTCAGCGCATGGTTGTGCATTGTAGAGAGCGCTCGATCGGGCAGCCTCTATCTGCACAACGGCTGTCACACTGGCTGTGTGAAGCTGTGTCACAGGCATATGTCTTCTCATGGGGTGGATCCCCCGGAGAACATCAATGCGCACTCCACCAGAGGAATGTCCTCCTCCACGGCTTTGCACGGAGGAATGTCAGTGGAAGACATTTGCACTGCTGCATCTTGGTCTTCCCCCTGTTCATTTATTCAATTGTATTTAAGGGATGTCTCCCATTCCTCTCTGACACACCCTGTACGGAGTGTCTTGTCAGAGTGAGTGACGTCAGGGATCCAGCTGGGCGCTCTCCTTTCTGGCACGCAGAGCTGCTGTTCCCTCCCCGTATGTATTGTTCCCAGCCTTCATCCCGTCAGGGAAGATAGGCATATTTAGCTATGTTCCAGGGACGGTGATGCGCCATTACGCATGGCACAACAGGCATGGGGTGTTATTTTGAGCAGGTGTGTCTGTGCTTCTAGTGCCGGGCGGACCCAGTGGGGCGCAGACTACATCATGCTTCGCCCTTAACCCAATAGCGATAGCATTAGAGGGCGAAGCCATATACGAAATAGAACTGAGGTTACCTACTGTAACCCCAGCTTCTATGAGTAAATGGTGAAGCCCTCTAAGCGCTGGGCCCCACTGGCTCCACGAATAGCTGAAGAAAAGTTATTTTGTATGGGAGCAGATTGCCGGGCCTCCTTCCTATTTATACCGGAAGGAGGCCCGAGGGCGGGGCCCACCTTGCGGGTGGGCGTGGACTACAAGTGTTTCAGTGCTGCGCGGGTGCGCAGGGGGATTACCCAATAGCGATAGCCTTAGAGGGCTGCGCCATTTACTCATAGAAGCTGGGGTTACAGTAGGTAACCTCAATTTTGTTTACTTGGACCAGGTTTCAAGTCTCTTTGTTTGGAAGACCAATAAACATTATTTGCAAATACAAATAGGTGTCAGTAGGCTCTGGAAGGTCCAAAAACATCCACATAATGACACTATAGAGCACGCCACATATGGATAATACCAAAAAATAAACATAAATTGTTGGATTATACTGCAGTTGGTATAGTAACAATCTCTTTAAGCACAAATCCCACTTTCCTCCAGGCTGGTTGGCCTACTCACTGATGTAGGGATAAACTTGGGCGCTCTGCCAAACATAATGATCTAGACTGAGTCCCACCACTTTGTGGTCATCATGAACACAGAGTCATGAGTTTTAAATACACCTGTAAAAAACCTCATTCATCAGTTTTCAGTCTGAATGGGAGATTTTGGATGAAAGTGTTAGATGGGTTTCTGTACATTTGGTAGAGGTACACACTTTACAATCCTCTTTCCCTACATTTTTTTCCCAATTTGTAGATTTCTCATCTTCTCTCTTTGCAGGGAAACGCCGTTTGAGGTGGGGAGTCATAGTTTTCTTGGCTTATGTTTAAACATAGAAGCAATCACTTGTAAATTGACACTAAAGGAGGCCTTGCTCTACTGTATCTATTTATCTGCGCATGAATGCATGTGCATTATAATCTTTGCTAAGACCTAAATATTGTACTGGCATTATTATTGCAAATAGGATTATAATGGCTTTTTTTTAACATATGCTGTGATACACAATCATTTTAAGCATTCCATGTTTTGTATTGCAGGCTTTATGTATCAAGTAATCAACTTTTCTCTAATCCTCAGGGACAGCAGTAATGGGTGGGATTCAATTTCCTATTTTGAATGTGTTATTTCACTCTACCACAATACCACATGTATTTGCTAAGGGAAAACTATTAAGCGTTACCATTAAAAGAAAGCTTTATAAACTAACATTTCTTTCTTTCTAAAAATAAATAAATATTGGAATTAGCATTAAGTTTTCAACTTAGTGTGGGGGGGACATCATCAGAAACTCATGTTTCTCTGTTCACCTTCAATCACTAACATAATGTATTGAGCAATCAGTGAATTGTTACCTCAAAATGCATTAAACAGTGTTTTCTTGCAGAAGGAAATGGAGACTTGAGAACATAAGGAAAATAAGCGGTGGATATATATATTTTTTTTAAACAAAATGTGTTTTAGGTCAGCCATGATGGGTTAATTACTTTATAATAAGGTCATCAAAGGTAAAGTATTGTTGTTGTCTTTTTCTGTGTGTATTCTGGTAGACTTACGAGGACACTTCTTGACACAGAAGGCTCCATAGGTGTACTTTGCTCTGGGGTTGTACTCCAGCTGGAAGGTGGTGGGGTTGTAGACAAAGGGCTGTGGGCACTGGGTCACACACGCCCCACTGTCATTGAAGTTGGTGCAGGCCTGCAAGTGCATACACACAGAGCAGACACAGTGTTGGTACAAGTATTTTGATTATTTACTTTACTTAACTTAAAGGGTCATTTCATCAAATGAAACATTCTCTCACTTATCCCATTATGCTTCCAATAACAGTTGGATGTATGCCTTTACATAATACATACAGCAAAAAAGCAAAAACATAAACTCCTGGGCCTAAACTTCACCACACCAGCTTTGAGTTGAGAATTTCCTCCGAGTTGCCTCAGAGTGCTCAGAGGAGACATTATTAAATGGTGCAGCGAGAGAATATTTTGCGTGCATCCAGTAAAATTACCATTGGGATAAGTGTTATTCGCCTTTCCTGTCAGGTACCTGGGCCTTTAACTTGTGTTTGGCAAATGTGGGAAAATGTGAACAATGTGTATTGACACAGTTGAACCAAAAATGTACCTACAGAGAGCTACTTAACTTTGTGGGTATAATACAACATGAAGTATGAAGAATTAAGAAAAAAAGAAAGAAAGAACTTGCCATTCCAAAGTCAGGCAGTTAAGCTCCATAAGTAATGGGCAATGATTTACAAGTTTAACATGCAGAGGGTTGCAAATAAAACATGCCAAAGTGCCAGAATGGAGGGGAGGCTGGTGAAGTCGGTATTTAACAATGCCACTCAAGAACAAATTGAAATATCATTTATTGGTATTTGCCACACAACTGGAATTTGAACACACGACAAAAAATGCCATCTTGATAGAAGAAATCTGATTGCAAAAGTAGTATGAATAGCTCGCTAAAAGTCACTAGTAAGAAGTGACAGGTTTGAGAAAAGAAATGTGAAGTACAAAATGATTCAACATTTTTTGTGGGGTTTGTATGAAATTATGACATGTCAACATGTTTTAAGTATGAGTATGTGTGTGCGTGTGTGTAAGTGTTTGTGTGTAAGTGTGTGTCTGTGTGTTCAACTTACAAAGCAGTCGGTGTCTTTTGGTCCATAGCAGCCCCCCGCACACTCACGATGGCAGCAGTCACTAACATAGGGACCGAAGCAACGGCCATCGCACTGCTCAGCACACACTGTCTTAGTTACTGTGGAGTGACAGATGTGGAAAAGGCAGAGAGAAAGAGAGGACACACAAATCATAAAACAATTAAACATTTCATATAACTTGTGTGGTTCACTGTTAGTCTTAAAAAAAGAATGGGCAATATTATTGAATAAAGAATGACATAAGAAACAGTTCATTTTCCGTATAGGATTGTTATGAATGTTTGAGATTCAATTTGAACCTTTGCTCGAGCAATATGTATTAAATTAGTGTCATGTAGGTCAGGCTAATTACCTGAATTGAAATTAAATTAATTCACAGAAACTTCTATCTAAAATGTATACGCACAACCATAATCTTCCACACCTACCAGCCGATAAACAGCTACATAACATAGTAAAATTTATGCATGTGTTTGTTTGCGTGTGGGGTGAGTTTAATTGAAGTTGAAGCATCCCTGCCACCTACTAGCTATCTTCAATCATGTATTCGTCTCTCTGAATGCTCTTCTGAGGGCCTCTAGCTGGATTTGACAGAGACATAGTGATTCCTATCAGACTGTGTGCCGTCTTCCCTTCATGGTGAGCGTCTGTCCACCCTTTCTTTGCATGGCTGTCACATTTATATGGGCTGCCGTATGCCTGTGTGCCTCGCTTCTTGACAGCCATATGTAAATGCATGTACTGTAGGTCTGTCATTTCACAGATAAAGACAGATTGAAACACACACATTAAGTGTCAGCAGGGGAATCTATAAAAGAGAGCAGGGAAATCTCACTTTAACTATTGGGGATGGATAAAGCAATGACATTAACACTGTAAAAAGTTGAACACACTTGCCGCTTGGCAGTGAAATAAAAAAGAAGAGCAACAGCTGCATGCGGTGGGCCACTGGCACATAGAGTGTTTTCTAGCATGAAGGGCAGCAAACAAGGCACGGCATCACATTTTTCTAGTGATAAGGCTCCCTAGAGGGCCCTTAATAATATTTACTTCCACATAAGGGTATCCAAAAGGGTATTCTGCCTGAATACAATAGCGCTATAGGTGGTATAAAAATGTAAAGAATTCAAGGGAAATATACATACTGTCTTCACTGTAAAAGAAAAGGATAGAGTTATTGCCATATCTTGTATTTTCTCACTATTTTTTGGCTAGTCACTGAAGGAGCCGTCATGTGTTGCATAATTAATAGTATAAACTTTGATCCGATACCTTTTCTCCCTAAAAAATCTGGATCTGTCTTTCCTTTCCTTTCTGATTTTCTTGCCTTGAGTGTATACAATCAAATAAGACAAAAAAGAGCGTAGTTCGTTCAACGTTTCATATTTAGTGATACATGTAAAGGTAAAATTAGTCAGAGATACAAGTCCTGACATTACAAAAGTTACATTTATTGGGTAAAAGAACAATGTTAGAATACAACATTAATAACCTAATGCTGGAGTTTGAAAGTGGATGCATTTGTGTTTTTATGTGTGCATGCACATGTTTTTTTGTCTGCTGAGTTTCCCTTTGGGTATTGCGGTGACAAGATACTATCTCAGTGATGGATACAACTGACAGACAACCACACACACACACACACACACACACACACACACACACACACACACACACACACACACACACACACACACACACACACACACACCATCAGTGGCACTCCATTAACAGTGCCTGAGCTAAAATGAAATGGCCTACTTCACTCAAAAGACACTTTGTCACACAAATGACCTTGCCAAGAGAGAAACGCATCACTGTTGATACATGTGGCTTTAAACATACACTTTCAGAAAAAAAGGAGAAAAAAAAAAGGCTGGTGACAACAAATACAGAAGGAATCCATCTCATAAAATATGCCTAGAAGCTTTCATTTGAACAGGCTGTGGACAGCGGCATCAGTCACAGAAACCACTGCTTCTCAGTTTCATTACCATAAGATAAATTGTGCTTTTTCAAAACTAGTTTCCAAACGACCTTTTAAATAATGATGGAATTTATTTTATTGTAGCATTTGTCTATATTCTACACACATTTGACTCACATGTTGGTTGTAAAGTAACCATTGAACCATTGTCTGTTTGTGGTGAAATGCATTGGTTAAAGTGAAATTCCATAAAGTTTCCTTTTTGCAGTGGTTTATTATCGGTAACAATGGTAAACTAGATCCCAGTGATTGCTAGAAGTATTCAATTAAAAACAGTGTTCCAAGTTTTGGCTGAGATAGTGTATTTTGGATAAACATAAGATGGAGCGTGGAAAAGTGGATTATACTGCAGGAGGGGCTTGATGAGATTCTTTAGATGTTTTTGAAATATTTATTCCACACATATATTTTAAGAGAGAAAAAACAAATCAACATAACATTTAAATTCCATCATTTAATTTTGTAATATGCTGATAGAAATGCTGACCATTAGTTGGTTCTTTCATACGGAATGAGCCTTCTCAAAGTTGATGTTTTGACTTGCAGGAAGTGCAAAGGTGTCAGTGACACAACTTGAACAATCAGCTAAGGCAAACAATGCCATCATTTAGGTTGTTAGATATGAAGAGGACTGCTGTGACAAAGATCCATCACATTCATATTTTTACATTCTTGAAAGCTTTCAAGTAAATGTTCAAAAGAAAGGATTTTCCTAGAGCACTTGAGTTATTTCAGGCTTTGCTTTATTTAACCCATAGCAATTATGAGACTGCTCTCCAGATTTGCTCTTCATTCATTCTCCTCCTGAGGGGCTGACACCAACAGCTGCTGTTTATTGTTGATTTTGAGACAGTTGAACAAGTATTCATGAAAATGTAAAAAAAAAGCATATTGGAAGTAATTCTTCCTTTGACATTTTCACACTTATTCATTCCATGTATTTCAGAACAATACAATTAAAGGTTGCGAGGTAGGAAGAGAAGAAGTGGGATGAATCATGACATCCGCTTTTGGATGAAGATGAGCAGATAAAGGAGGCAGACGGACGAGGCCAGGGCTTATCAGGGGGGTTTGTGACGTGTTGTTAACAGGTCCTGGTCAAACAGTTCATTCCTCATTATCTTAATGAGATCGCGACCACAGAACAAATAAGATGAGACATGCCAGGGTTGGAAGGCATAGATGAAGTGGTCTGTGCACAGAGTGATGGAAACAAGGGAGAAATAATGTATGGTGAGGGAAGCACAATCAACTAGGAGAGGGCGGAGAGAAACAAATAGATACTTAATGGAGAGACTGAAAATGTTTGCAAAAGCAAATGCTTCTTTGCCTGCTAGAAACACGTACATGCTGTAGTTAGAGTTGTAACATTTTAGTGTGTGGCACAGTACAGCGTAACATATGTTTCTGATAAAAATAGAAGTAGTATTCGTAGTAGTATAAGTAATAATCAAGAACATTTACCATCTATTCATGTTGTTTACAAATGTCATTAAAGCTTAGATTTCTTACTTTTAAGAAAGGTTATTGTCAACAGTTTACACAACATTCCCTAAGCCAATGACAGCATGGTCACGTTTGTATGCTTTTTAGTTTACAGGGTAATATTTTGATTACCTAATAAATTCAATTAAGATTTGTAGAGAGTTGGGCCAAATTGTTTTATGTTTTTGCTTTAAATTCCTGGGTTTGAGTATAGAACAATAAAAGACAACACCAGCATCAGTCATTTGTGGAAATTATTGCATTTGCAACGTCTTGTGGCAATGTCAACTCTAGCATGCCTCTTTCTCATACAGAGCAATACAAGAATGGAACAATATTCTGAATAAACTAAAAGCTAAAGCTGATTGGTAAATAACCAATCATGCACACATTAGTTTAGCTTTCTGCGATTCATATCGTTTTACATATTTTATTTAAATTAGTTTGTATATCTAGTCTTAACATTTTGAAGATAGAAATGTACATTTGATGTCATGTGAATTAGTTGTAGCATGCATGTATGAAATATGTTGTGATATCATACTGTATGTGTTAATATTGTAATTTAATTGTGCTGTATTTTGTGTGGACCTGCCTGGTGGCAGCAGATGGAAATTAGCATACTACTATTATCTGGTACAAATAATCTTATCTCTTTGAGATGTATGTTCTTCTTGTACATGGTCCCTGACAACTAAATTAAACTGAACTTTTTGGGGAAATGTCTTGGTAGTGTTTGCCTTTTCACACAAGGCAACCCACTTACTATTTACATTAAGATTTTGTTCATTTGAACCTTGACCAAAATCTTTATCCTTCATCAAGTCATTCTTCTTCAACCATGGAGACTCCGTAAGACTTTTTGCCTAAACCTAACATATCCTAACATAGTGGTGTGATGTCAGAAAATCAAAATTGTTATAATTGTAAAAATGTTTAAGACCACTATTAAGCAACCTTTTATTTGGTGAAGTTAAGGAACTGTTGAGAGCTGGAGGCGCAAAAGCTAAACTATTATTTTTTTATAATTTCAAGTCGGTATACTTTTGGTTTACCCCAACTGGTGGTCTGTAGCCCACAGCTGTGTTTCCTTATTGGTTTGGCTTTGGCTGTGTGTGTGTGTGTGTGTGTGTGTGTGTGTCTGTATGCATGTATGTGTTACACAGTGTCCTGAAAACAGGTGAGAGGGAGAGAAACAGAGATATAAAACCAAAAACAGGCAGAGAAAGACAGCAACTTAAGTGAGAGAGACTGACAGAGACTTGAGAGCCTCAGAAAGATGACTGAAGGAGAGGGAATAACATGCAGCCTCCCTCCCCACTGATGTCAGTAGTGCATCATTCCATTAGTTGGTATGAAAGGTGGGAGGTCCCAGCAGGAGGGTCTGTTGAAGATGTGTTGGGGGTCTGTTGAAAGTGTCTGGAGTTGAGATGCACATGTGTGTGTGTGTGCACTTTACTGTGTGTGTTTCAAGATGTGGTTTTTCCACAGATTGCAAATTCTTTTCCAGAGCTGGGCTTTTTACAGGTGTGAAATCTGCTACATCTCTTGTAAAGTGCACTTTTCTCACCATGAATTTGATTAGTAACGGATCATAAACTGGGACCATATACCTTTACCACACTTAAATATGCTTAAACAAGGCTTGTATTACTGAAAATGTCATTATTAGTATTAATTATTTTTCATGATAATGGAAAATGACAACAATGTGTCAAGTCTCCTTTCCGTTTTTGAATTATAATTGTTCTATAAATGTCAGTCTGCAATCAAGGGTTAAAATTAAATAGAAAAAATGCTTATAATTGCATGCTTAGGAAAAACAAGGACAAAATAAGTACAGGCAATGTTTAAATCCCCTAAAATGATGGTAACAGATTGCTTTGCATGAATGGCCAGATCATGTTGAAGCATATTGCAGCTGATGCCGATCAATCAATATAAGCGTGACTTAGTGCTGCGTCTGCAATAGCACAATAATTCATTTAATGGACAAACAATGCAGAACCATTCCATGTTCGTGTACCATTGACTGTAAGAGACTTTCTGCTGGATTATAATGTCATTAACATCCCCATCCCCGCCCAAAAGCAAAAACGCACAATAACCTACAGAAACCTCAAATCCATCTCACCTTCAGCAATCACTGCCTCCATTACCTGCAAGATGTCTGTCTCCCCCCCCCCCACTTTCTGAAAACCCATCTGAACTTGTGGACTATTGTAACAGCACCCTCTCCTTCTGTCTCAATGAACTGGCCCCCACAAAAACTAAAAATGTNACCTTTAAAAAAACTCACAAAAACTCACCTCTTCAATCTGGCTTTTAATGTGTGATTGTTTTTGTATTATTTGACTTTAACTTTAACTATATATTTATTTGTTGTTCCTTTCTTCTCTTTTCTTTTCTCTTCACTATTATCTNTACTCACAAAGCCCTCAACAACCAGGCCCCCCCCTACCTCACAGACCTGCTGCACCACCACACCCCTTCCCGCTGCCTCCGCTCATCAGAAGCCAACCTCCTATCCATCCCCACCCGCACCAATCACCGGACCTGGGGGGACAGAGCCTTCTCCGTCGCTGCCCCCTCCCTCTGGAACTCACTCCCACAACCCATCAGAGACTGCACCGACCTCACCACCTTCAAAAAACTCACAAAAACTCACCTCTTCAATCTGGCTTTTAATGTGTGATTGTTTTTGTATTATTTGACTTTAACTTTAACTATATATTTATTTGTTGTTCCTTTCTTCTCTTTTCTTTTCTCTTCACTATTATCTGTAAACAGCTTTGAGCACCTGTAAAAGCGCTAACAAATTAAATCTATTATTATTATTATTAAAATCCTTTCCTCATGAATTGTGCAATTATAGTTAGACTTTTGCCAAATATACAGATGATCTTCTCATGAATTATGTGTTTCTACATAATTTTTGTTGATCTTGTCCTTTTGGGTTTGAGAGATCATCATATCAGTCTAATTCAATTCTATTTAGTACCAGTTGATTTGATGTGGTTCAATATGAAAGGAACATACATTTACAAAGAAACACATATTTTAGTTTGGGCATCCATGATTTTCTAAGTCAATTTGTCTAAAAAACATTTAAAAAAAAGGAGAAAGCATATCAACATAGTTGCTATGTTGATATGCGTTCTGAAGGCCATTCTTCAACTTCTTACTTACACTTCCTGACTTCAATCTTTCACACATCACAGGTACATTAGTTAGACACAGTTTAGTTAATATGCTTTTATGGAAGCCAACAAGTTTCTCACATACTGTTTATATTTATATTCATATATTAAAAACAAATATATACTTACAGCTCTGACACTGATCCTCCTTGGGTCCCCAGCAACGACCATTACAGGAACGATTGCACTTTTGACCTGCACACAAGTTGAGGGAAAGAGATGATTGGCATTTCAAATGGTTACTTAATCGCAAAATATGATCAGTATCAACCTTCAGAAATCCATATTAGCTGAATCTAAAAATAGGCTGGAGGCTGTTAGTCTGGAGTCTGTGTGCCCTCAAGCACTACGTTGAAGCCCAAAATTGATCCAAAAAGTGAGTGAAGCTGTAGATGTTTCTTTGAGTCAACTTTAAAATATGTGTATTTTAAAAGCAACATGATTATATTAACTTGAAGTGTTTTTCTTTTCAGGCAAGACTTCCAAATAAGTGCATTTCAAGGATATTTTGTGTGCTTGATAATTATTATAATTATAATCTGACATAAGTAACGCAATCTGCAAGAGATGTAGGTGTTTTAATACTTCACAGGACGGCTGTGTAGTTAACTATGTAACGATGATGATGTTGATAATAGCTATTCATTGATTATATTCAAATATAATGTTTTCAGCTTGTTCTTTAACTGAATTATTTTCAAGGATTCCTATTACAAGTGCAGTGCTTGTTCAAAATGTACCTATTTAGAACATGCCTGATTGCTGGGCGTTCTGTTTTGCTTGTTGAGGTTGAGAACCCTCATTGAACAACTTTATTGCGCTTCCCTGGGTCCTGAGCAATACACATAGTTGCATTCCCAAGCAATGCTATAATTTACCTGTCAAAGAACAAGCTGAACCGAGCATACCATTTGCCCAAATAACACTTACTTTCTACTTCCTTTAGCTGCTAACCGGTGTCCCCTCTTAGTAAACAATGACGTTTGTACATACTCTAATTAATATCACCATTGGATCTCAATAGCTCACACTCTACACTGCACTTTCTTTGGTCCTCAGCAATATACCCGCCAAGTGTGATCGGATGACAGACATCCAGATTTTTTCCGTTTTTGCATTTTACAATGAAGATGATGTAATTCGCCGTCGACCAGTACCATTTTGTACATGCAGTTCCAGTCTTACAACCTTGAATAACCTTGACAAAGACGTTCCTTTATGCTGGTCCACTTTAAATCTCCCCAGCATGAAACAAGCACACATCAGGTTGAGATAAAAACAGGAAAGCAGCAGGAATCAGCAGCAGAAAGCAGCATCATACCCTCAGAGCTTCAGCCAGTGCCTTTCTGTTTTTTTTGGAGGACTTAATTGACTGTCTGGTAATTGACTGCGAGGGAAGTGAGCCTGGATAAGTGCAGAAGTGCTGTCCTCTGTCCATCAGCCTCTCCAGATGAGAGCTATTAGCACCGATACTGACTCTATTCCCCAACACGAGCCTCTCCATCTTCTGCCCTCTTCTTCCTCCTCGTCTGTGCCCCTCTACACCACACATTTCATCTCTTTCATCCACTATCCACCACTCGCTGATTCATCTCTCTTCTGTGGCTCTCTTTTACTTAATGTCTATCCCTATCTCTCTTTGCCTTTTTACAGTCAGCCCCTCTTCTTTTCTCTGCTCCTCCAGTCACTTCCTCTCAAACTAGCACGTTGACAATGGTTGAGAAAGAGAGGTCGACAGCCTTGTATGAAAAGCAGCACACAAACAGGATAATAATACAAATGTCAGCCAGTGATAAGCGGTTGTCTGACATTGTCAAGTGTGCCGAACCTCTTCTGTACTCTGTTATAACTCTGTTCTCCTCTACTCCTGGCACCCGGCAAAAAGTCAAGACAAAGAGTTTTCATTTACTGTCCAAGGTCTTCACTATCTCAACTTATAAATTATCAGTGACCTAGAATAAACCTGTCCCACCCCTCTTACTGCACCATAATCTTTTACAGCTTTCTTAAAACAGCCGCCGAAGGTTAAAATGTCGGAAAATGCTGCCATGCAAAGGCCAGTATGGGGTAATAGACAGATGGCTTGTCTTCAAATGAATCAACGGGGCATAGATTTTAAAATTACAGCTGTTTTTGAAAAAGACAACCAAAATAAACAACAACCGCAGCACAAATAAGTAGTTATTGTGTCTTCCCATAGAATGAAATGTAGATTAGGATCTCAATGGCGGATTTCAGGTTTGGAGACCCTTGATCTTGAAGCAGAGTAGAAGACTTGCACAGGAGTAAGGGGTCGATCCAGGGCTAACAGGCTGCAGGGAGGAGGTTGATTGAGCAGAATATCAATGCTTGGAGCTGGTAATCTGCATGTGAAGCCCTCAGCAAGTGAGAGGGAATCCAAGGCCATGGGCAGAGGCTGCCTTTTTTTTCTTCTATAATGATTAGGCCTTTGAATGTGTAATTCTCTGTTGTAGAGGTATAAGACGAGACAGCTTTTAAAAAAAGAGAAGAAAAACAACAACAACGGATTTAAATGTCAAACAGCTTGAGCACTAAATTAATAACAGAAGCTATGTTTGTTAAGATCTTAAGTCAGTGAATGAATAGAAAATGGTGAGATGAGGTGATTTAATGAATCTTTACTTCACTCACACCCCGCACCCCCCCCCCTTACAGATTAAATATGCTTATTGCATCCAAATAAATCCCTTTATAATTCTTAACATTTAATAAAGTGTCTTCCAGCTGGCCACAGTGGGGCCTTATTATGACATGAGTGAGCATCATTATGCGATGGTTATGGTAAGTAAAGTGACAGAATGGGGTCAAGGAGTGCTTTTGTGATGAGAATGTTTTGCTGCCCACATCAGTCAATGGAGCAGTTTAAAATATGGGGTCTTCTTTGTACACATTTTCCAGCCCCATCTTCTTTTTGAAATGCCTGAAAGCCTAACCATATTTCTTAAAACCTAACTTTTGGTCTGCTCAAAATCCTCTAAGTTTGAGTTCCCTGCAGACAGAGCTGACTATGCTTTAAATAAAGATTGTTTAATACAAATGAGTCATCACATATGCAGTCATGAGCCAGCCTCATTAGCAGGGTACTCTGCCACAACTAGCTTCCGGGTGTGACTGAGTAAAAGTGTGAATGCTCTCAGTTAAACATTCATTAAATGAAAGGTTGAAATTAAAACATGTCTTTTACACTTGTATTGTCTGGGTTACTTACATGAGACACTACTGTTGGTGGGCACCACCACAGCATGCATCCGAGGGTTTTTTACAATGTCCTGCCAATGGATTGTGTCCGCATGACACAGGAACTTGTTCTTGTCAACATACACGCCTCCACTCAGGATCTCTGTGGAGAAAAGAGAGCACACATTCAATGACGATACACAAAGGGCTTCCTGGGACTTTTTCTGATGGGCAATGCATCTAATTCAGCAATCCTGCTACCAGGCTCCTGATGTGATTTTTAATTACAAGCGTTCCTCCCCAGCATCCTTTTGTAATTAAGAACTGACATGTCCAGACACTACACTTTACCAATATTGGAAAGACACCCTTTCCTTTGCTGTCCATCATGTATTGTGGTATGGCTTGGGAACCTGAATCTGGCAAATAAGAACAGGCTTGCTCGGCTTTTCAAAGTGAGCAGCACAGTTATTGGGGTTAGTCAGCTGCATCTCTCTGACCTCTAATATAGGCAAGACCTAAGATTGGTTCAGGCCATATTGCCATGTCCTGATCACCCCCCTCCCCTGTAGAGATCATTGGAGCTTCTACAGTACTTCAGGCTGAAGATGCAGACTTCCCAAAACCATATACACCGTGTCCTTTGTGTGCTCAGCAATAGTTTGCTGATTTTGCACATGTGAACTTGGCCCCTACGTGTTTTCAGCATTCAGCTACTGCATCTTAACCGTTAAGATTGTACATTATGTTCATTTTTTTTTTGGTTCTTGGTGCAACTCACATTTCTCCTAGTGTGAAAATACAGTTTGACTTGAGGCAAGAGCATGATTTGGGTTTTGGTTGGAACAGCTTATCTTGAGACATATACAACAAATGCAGGTTGTTGCAGGGGTCAGGCAGGCAGGACAAAGCTGTGTCATATTTCCATTTTTTGTTTTCGCATCCTTCCATTCCCACAGTGGGAGCAGATCAATTATGCCTCACTACAACAACAAAATCAAGCCTACAACAACAAAATCCATCTGGAAGGGACAGCAGCCCTTACAAGTTTGTAATTTTATATTTCATGAAGGTGGTGGAGAAAGAATCATGTGTCCTTTCATCATAATATGCATCACCTTGTCCAACCAATGATTGCAGTGGTTTTATTCATTTTGTCACACACACACACAGTCTGTTGAATTATTGGATACGGAGGGTGGTTCCGATTATTGTTATGCAGGACTTTAGAAAATGCCTAATCCTGACTTTTATGTGAGAAAGAGTGGGAAAAAATAGAAAGAAAGACGAATAAGGACGAGAAAAAGCCACAGAGAGACGGAAGGCAGGAAAGAAAGCCCTACAAACAGATTACTGACACGGGCTGAAACTGACAAGACACATAATCATACACGGGACGCCCTGCAAGCACCACATTGCAACAGCCAAATACAATATCGTCCCACAAAGACCTGATCTAATGATTATTTCTGGATAATAGGTTGTGGTGTTACCTACACAAGCACCCAACCTCAGCTCTCCTTCTCTATCTTTCTGCATGTGTGGTGGGAGTTGGGGAAAGAAATTAATCCTGCCTCTCACCACAGGAGGGATATAGCTCGGCTAGGAGGAGGTCGTGTCTCAAATTCTAATTGTTTGCACAATAAGATGCTGCTGGCTAAGTTGGGCAATAGACAAACCAACACACAAGGCACAGCAGTTGTTATGACAAAATGCCAACAGGACATATCAACCCTGGTTAAGCAAGATACAAATACTTCCTCCTGGGTATTCACCTTTGTATGGCTCATGGGTCTGTAATCGGAGCACTGCATGTTAAGGTGCATATCCGAGACATATTCAAATGTACATGCATTTGTTGTAATCATGTATGAATAAAGAACATGTCATAGCTAAAGCATCACCAGGACCAGCATTTTAAATAAAACACATTGCTTGCCTATTGCTTGATAGCTTTGAAACCATGATGAAAAATGTAACATGGATACATGTAGAGGCAGTTTAAAAGGATCCAAACCTGATAGATATCGACTGGACAATTATTAAAAAAGGCTACAATTTCACATTTCCTTTTCACCTGAGTTACGACTTTATTCTCATTGGTGGATACAACCACCGGTTTTCATGAATCTAATCTGGGTACGCATACAAAAAATTTGAATTTAGGTACCAACTCTACCAAAACAATTGCCAGGATTATTAAATGTGTGGTAAACAAGTGAGACAAGGTGTTTTGACTAATTCCAGCTGGACGGGAGCAGCATTCACACTCTCAAACACATTGTATAAACAGACTGGGAAAAAAAACACTCTCTTCAACACTGTCACAACAAGTGACCCTCAACACCATCCAAAGGGGTTCCACCACCTTGTAATGCTTCCTCGCACAAATTATACATTTGGATCTGCACAGACATACACACACTTACAGTACACACACTAAAGTGCAGTGTGACATGACCAAGTTCAAAATGCTGGAAAACTGTTTAATTGGCTCCTTGCTGGTGCTTTGCCCAGGACAGTTACAGCATTTCCCATGGCCTCTGTCACCAATATTTGAATAATTAACACAAATATAGTACATAACCCTCACATGCAGAACTTGTACAAGCGTTGGTTTTCATTACAAGTAAATGCTTGGCATGCACATTTGCTGGATGTTCAGTTGGTGGCCAGGGGGAGATCAATGGTTAAATCTTTGTTGCTGATTGTTTAGTGGGTAGAGAAAATATCTTAATTAGTTTGTTCACATAGCTAAAGCTGATCTCTCCATACTACCCCCTCCCCTCTCACTTCGTCCTGAGAGCAACTCCTGCCGTCTCTGAATGAGTGTATGAAAGGCAATCTTCAATATCAGGATGTATGACCGTTGGATTAAAACAATATACAATTCAAGGAGGCAGAACAAATGTATGCAGGCAATTATTTTGATGGTAAGTGCCGGTTGTGGTCTTTTTTTCCCTTTATTGCAGTGTAGGGAAGACTTTAATTAAGACTGGGAGGCAAATAGCAAACCAATGATCAGAAAAAAAGCCATATTAATGACTTTATGAGAGTGAATTTTTAAGTGGTGTGTGGATTGCTTAATGAAGAAAAATGTCGGACAAAAATAACTTTAGGGTTGGAGGACTACATTATCAAACTTTTGCAATCAGAACACAACAACAAATACATTAATACAGATATTCTATTCCTCTCAGGAGGCAAAATAAACTATACACATAACGTGAAGAAAAACAAGCCAGCTTGAAAAGGAAACAGTAACACAGTCAGCAAAACAGTAGTTAAAATGATAGAAAGACTGTAACAGATTCAGGAAGAAACTCAAACAGTCAGGCAATTACAGTAGATAGACAGGTATTCAATCAGAAAGACAGGAGTTTCTCCTCTCCTCGATCAGCGGGCCTGGAGATTTTACCCTGGGACTTCACTGTACTGTCTTATTGACTCCAAGAGCTTCTACTTGGTCTCGGGCTCAGCGCTGCTATCAACTCAGTGGAACAGAGGGGAGAAACTCTGCGGGAAGATGAAGATGCATTCTGGGTCAAAGAGGCTAAATGCTGGGGCGCATATCCTACCCCAGCAGCAGTGGAAGGCAGAAGTTGTTGCTAGGATTCACTGAACAGACAGACCAGCATAACTGCCACAATGAGGGGATGAGTGCACGCATAGAGACACTTCTCAGAAAGAAACACGCTAAAAACATATTTAAATATACACATGCTTGGCTCAGGGTTGGCAGTAATGAGGCCCTCAATACTATACGTGCTTTGAGCATCAATTTGGTAACCATTGGACTTTATCAGTGGCCTTGTAACTCGAAGGACACTAATTATAAACCCTACAACACCAGTGGCAATGTAGGTAGGAATGTCAGCTGTATTTTACCGGCTTTCTTTGAATGCTATTATAAAAATAGACTATGTCAGTGGTCAGTGGAATTGAATTAAATATATAGTCTGGGAAGCGCACAATAGCCATGTTGCTGCGCCCTTACCAACTACGGATATAAAAAGAAAATAAGAGAATCAATAAGTAGTTCCATAGCGAAAACAGAAAATGAGAGTGTTATGCATACTCACAGAAAACTGAGTGCAGAGAAAAGAGAAAACAACATTCAAGGAGAACTTGAACACTTCGATATCAACTATGTCTAGATGAAAGAATGAGTGAGTGAAAAATAAAGATTGTACATACTGTTTGGATAGATAAAGAATAAATTACATAGAGTGATGGATGGTAAATTGTGGGAGAATGGATGACATCTCTTTTATCAGCCTCATCCATCAGTGTATCTATTCATGCGTCGTGATAGATGATGGCTACAGAAACATATAATGAGAAAGAAGAATTTTTTTAAAGCATGTCTAAAATATGGTTGCAAAGGATGAATATATGATGCATGAATTAGCGAATGGATCTGGCTGATGAAGCAGTCCCACTCCAGAGGCTGCAGCCTCTTCAGCACTCCTACACCCACTTCTAACAACATCATAAACAACCAGCCATGAGTTTTAAGAGAAGTTTTTTTCCAGGTTTCCAGGCGCTGCTCATGTTGCCACGCAGTGCTGTGTCAATCACTGTGCTCTGAGTTGCTCTGTTTCCGACAGGAGATGTCAGGACGGCAAATCTCTGCCTTTGCTCTACAAATAGGTGATCTCCCCTCACACCCATCATCTGCTGCAGATTCACACTTCCTTCCTTGCCCTCCAGTCCCCACTGTTGCCAAGGAAATGCTTGCGTCATCCAGATGCAAAGTACATGTGTGTATGTATTTGCATTTAGGAAAAAGACAAGAACAAGATAAATGAGTTCACACAAGTACAGGGATTTGCCTTGTATACTCATGTGTACATGGACGTGTACGAGAGGAAGAGACAGACCATCAGAAACTCTGTGCATACAAAGAGGGAACTCTGTGTTTGTGTGTGTGACATGAGCACTGTTAAATTCTTTTTAGATCTTCCGTTCCATGCGTGTGGATGGAGCTACTCGATCACTCAAATGCATATATATTTGTCTATCATCTTAATGACAAAGTTCGTTGTCTCAATAGATAATGATATGTCAAAACAAATCATTTTGTGGGGTTCCACAAGGTTGAGTCGTAGGACAACTACTCAATAAATGTTATAGCTTTCGTGGCCTATAGGTGAGGGACCC